ATAAGTGCGCATTCGGCGTCGGATCAGGAAAGTTCTTAGGATTCATGGTCAACCAGAGGAAAATTGAGGCGAATCCTGACAAGATCAAAGTCATCTTGGACATGAAATCACCCACCACGACCAATGAACTCCAGCGCCTCAATGGAAGAATAGCATCACTCAACAGATTTGTTTTCAAGTCTGCAGATAAGTGCTTACCCTTTTTCAAGATTCTCCAGAAAGCTTTTGAATGGGGATCTGAGGCAAAAGAAGCTTTTTAAAAGCTTAAAAATTACTTGGCTATGCCTCCCCTCCTTTCACGTGCTACGCTAGGTGAAACTTTATATTTGTACCTTTCTGTTTCTCCATCGGCAATAAGCTCTGTCCTCATCAGAGACAACAAAGAGTGCAAAAGTCTATCTATTAAGTGAGCAAGGCATACCAAGGAGAAGAAATTGGATAAAGAGTGCAAAAGTCTATCTATTAAGTGAGCAGGGCATACCAAGGAGCAGAAATTGGATATTCAAGGCTAGAAAAATTGGCACTCGCCCAGATCTCAATAGCAAGGCGTCTCCGACACTACTTCTAGAGTCACGCCATTGTTGTTGCCACGGACTAGCCTCTAAAGAGGTTTTTGGGAAAGCCAGACGTCTCTGGAAGACTCCTTAAGTGGTAGTAGAGCTAGGTGAGTTTGATGACTAGTACTAACCAATGGCAACCGTCAAAGCACAAGCCTTGGCTGACTTTATTGCAGAGCTCAAACCAGCGGAGGAGGAGGATAGTGGACCCTTGACACCTCAGGAAACCTCATCAGAAACTTACCAAGACATCCAAGCGCCAAGGCCTGGCACCCTACAACTGTGCCTAGGGCATCCTGGCACCTTCAAAGGGCGCCCAGGGCATCCAGGCGCCCACCATGGCCTTTAACGCTCCCTTTCAACCGCCTCCCTAGAAAATTTATGTGGATGGATCCTCGACTAGCAAAGGAGGTGGAGCTGGCCTAATCCTCATCATCCCTAACAACACTCCCATCAAGTACGCCGTGAAGCTCCACTTCACCACCTCCAACAATTAGGCAGAATATGAAGCCCTCCTTTCTGGCTTAAGATTTGCAACTGAAATGGAAGTCTAACACCTTATCGCTTATAGTGACTCTTAGTTGATAGTTAACCAATTGAATGGCAAGTTCGAAGCAAAAGGAACTAGAATGCAGGAGTACCTTGCCATGGTGCAAGCCTTTCTTACGAAGTTCCATCCCGAGGGAAGACAATATGGTTGTAGATGCACTCACAAGGCTCGCCTCATCCTCGGAAGCCCCACCAGAACTAGCATTCATCAGTCACTAGTTCAAGCCAAGCAGGCTAGACATGGAAGCTATTAACATCAAATGTGCATCTGGCGAATCGAACTAGATGACCCCAATAAGGGCATACCTCCAGGAAGGCGCATTGCCAAATGACTCATTGGAAGCCAAGAAGCTCAAGATGAGAGCCTCCAAATTCACTATCCTATAGGGCATCTTGTATAAGAAAGGCTATTCCTTGCCACTGCTATGATGCTTCTCCCTAGATGAGGCTGACTACGCCCTATGGAAAATTCATGAAGGAGTTTACGAAAACCACTCCGGAGGCCGCTCCCTAGCCCACAAGGCACTCAGGTAAGGCTACTTCTGGCCTAGCATGGTTAGAGACGCCCAATAGTATACCAAAAAATGCGGCAAGTGCCAGCACTTCGCCATGGTGCCTAGACACCCACCAGAAGAACTAACAACCATCACAAGTCCATGACCCTTTTTCAAATAGGGTATCGACATCTTGGGCCTTTTACCTCTAAGCAAAGGGCAATGCAAGTTTGTGGTGGTAGGAATCGACTACTTTACTAAATGGGCGGAGGCCGAGCCCTTAGCAAAAATAGCATACGCAAAGGTCAAGGACTTCATCTAGAAGTACTTGGTCTTCCACTTCAGAGTACACCACGCCATAGTCAGCGAAAACGCCAAGCAATTCGACAACAAGTTCATGAACTCGTTCTGCCCTAACCTCTAGATAAAGCAGCCTTATTCTAGCCCAGTGCACCCGCCGGTAAATGGATAAACAGAGGTCATGGTGAGAACAATTCTATGCAGCCTAAAGACAAGGCTCAAAAGAGCGAAGGGTCTCTAGATTGACAAACTCCCAACTGTATTATGGGCCTACCGAACGACACCAAGAGCCCCAACTAGAGAAACCCTATTTTCCCTCGCCTTTGGTACTGAGGGAATCATACCTATGGACATTGGGGTACATTCTATAAGGGTCCAACACCACGACCCATCACCAATGAGGAAGGACTCTGCGTCAACCCCAACTTGGTGGAGGAGGCAAGGAAAATGGTTATGGTCAGCAATGCGGAATACAACGAGGCACTACAACTTGAGGGTGAAACTTTGTTCCTTCCAACCAGGAGATTTAGTCTTTAAGAATGCGATACTCGCCACGAAGGATCTGTGAGAAGAAAGCTTAGACCAAACTAGAAAGGAACCTACCTTATAACAGAAGTAGTGAGGCCAGACACTTACAAGATCTAGAATTCCGAAGGAAAGGTCTTACCCCATCCCTGGAATGTTCAGCATCTGAAGAGGTACTACCAATGACACCTTAGGGGAATAGAAGTAGTAAGCTGAGAAACTTGATTTTATTGTAACTTCTTTGGGTTATTACCCACTATTGCTTAGCATGAGCAATCATCGATAAAACTTGCTAAATTTACTCCAAAAGTTCTTTGCATTTCGGCATTCCATTTCAAAGGAGCATCAGTGGCAAAAAACTACTTTTACAAAAAGTGAAGCTACACTGCCTTTCTAAAAAAAAATAAATCAAAAGTCCCCAGCACTCTAACTACTCTCATGGTCGCCGTCGTCCTTGTCCTCCTCCTTACCCTCTGGATCGTCAGAGCCACCATCACCATCATTAGGCGCCACATATGGCACGAAGCCTGAAAGATCAACATCAAGGAAAGCAGCAGAAATATTTTCCCAAAGCTCCTCGTAACTATCAATAAAGGCATCTATAAGGTCACTCTCTAAATCACCCTTAGCATTAGCAGCTCTTTCACGAGTCAACTACAGATCCACCTCAGCCTAAGAAGCCCGATCGTGAGCTGGCTTCACCTCTGTCTTCGCTCTCAATCAAGCAGCCTCTCTGAGTGCTACTTTCTCGTGAGTTTCCATAATCTCAGCCTCTCTAAGTGCGTCCCTCTCATGAGTCGCCAAAAGCTCAGCCTCAAGCTTAGCCTCCCTCTTATGGGTCGCCAAAAACTCTGCTTTAGCGCTCATGCATGCAGTTTCTTTGAGCGCAACCCTCTTATGAGTCGCCACAAGCTTAGCCTAGGAAGCTCTACCATCAGCTTCAAGCTCAGCAATCCTCCCATGAGTAGTAAAAAGCTCATTTTGCACTGTCTCATAACTCTGCTTCAACTGACTATAATAAATTGAAACCTGAAAAGGCAAAAGAATTTTAGTCTCTAAGGAGGGACTGGAGAAAAGGAGAAAGCACATCCTTACATGAGCCAGACTTTCCAAGAATGTGTCGATAACACCCCTAGTGCCCCGGGCACTAATCTCATTAACGTCTGTTAGGAACACAAACCTCCCAAGTTGATCCCTGACGACTTGCACATCACCCAACATGGAGCCAATCTAAGTAGGTGCTCCTATAGAGGTTCCCAAATGAGAAGTCGATGAATGGGGGGCAGAAGGTGTGGCCAATAGGGGAGTCTCCAGAGTGACGGTCACATCTGAAGGAGTTGTTGACCGAGGAGGCACCACTAGAGGGGTCATCTCAGAGGAGCCTGCCAAAGCATCACTCACCCTTGCCACCTTAGAAGGAGGAGTGCCCCTAGTGGAATAACGAGACTCTACCATTGTTCTGTCCATTGCAGAAGGAGAAAAGTGTTATGTTAATAAAAATCAAGTAAAGAAGGGGAAGACAAAGGAATCAATGTACCATTTCTCTTCAAAGAGGAACCACCAAGTCTCGTAGAGGGTGCACCAGCCCTAACACCGACTGTAAGAGAGCCTCTAGCTCTATCCTCTTTGAGCATGAGAGCTCCAAAGTCTTTTACAGGGTGAGCCCTCACGACTTGCAACTTCCATTCTTGATCCTTTGTGAGCTCTAGAGAACCTGTAAGGGATGTAATAAGTACATATTTTCAAAGAAGGCAAAGGGAAAAGAATAAGTGTGGGCATACCAAGTCTCTTTGGGGCATCCCATTTTGTTGGTACCAAAGCTTTGTCAGCCTCTGAAGCCCACTCTCCATCAACAAATATAAAACGGGTCTTCTAACTATAGTAGTTAGAGCGCAATCTGGTGATCAATTTACCTCCTCTCAGAAAAAGGTAGTACCAACTAAGATTGAGAGTAGGAGTCTCACTTAGAGTATACGCTGCACAAAACTCGTTAGGAGATGCATCCGCATAATGCACCTTCCTCCACAGTGCCAGAAACCCCAGCAAAGCTCTCCAACCATTGGACGCGCACCTGTCCTGGTGCTAGTGAAAAATAATGCAGAATATGACAAACAGAAGAAGGCATTGGGAACCTGAGCCCAACCTCTACCACCTCCTCATAAATGGCAATGTCTCCAGAGGAGTCATCACAAGCAGGCTCGGCCATCTTGGCTCGATGGCATAGTACTGTAGGGAGAATGTTATAAGTAGAAACAATTCACAGAATATCTGCATCGGTCTTGAAAGTACTAGAGATGGTACTTACCTTAGAACTATCATCTTCAAGAGCTACCTTCCCTCGGTGTTTTTTGTTGCGAGGGTGTGAAACGTTGCCCAGGTCACTATTAGGAGAGCTTTGAGGAATCTGACTCCCTGGAGTTCCACATGAATGAATCATGTCATCCGTCGTTCGACCAGAATCATCGTTGCCAGAAACACTAGCATACCCCGGCGTACTCTACCTTCTGACTCCAGAACCAGGCTTGCTAGCTCCGTACCCAACCTTTACCGCCAAGCCTGACTAGCCCAACATCGACTACGCATTTGCTTGATCACACCTAGTGACTGACAGGACCACCTCAACACTCACTGGTACTTGCCCAGCTGGCCTCAGCGTGTTCCTACTATAGTAGACTACAAGCTCGACCGATTACGCACAGGACGTTATGCCTAACTGCATCTCGCTCATCGCCAAGGGCACCTCGCCCAGCTACGTTTTGCCTAGTGCCAAGGGCGCCTCACCTCCGACTCCCTGACCCATGGCCAGCGGCACCTGATGACCCTAGTAGCTTAACATCAACATCAATCGCCCACTCATTGAAGCACGACACCTATGGCGCGTCGCCTACAGCGTCGCTTCCCCAACGGCCAGCAACTAACACCACATGAGACCTCCTCTCAGTGACGCCCATGGCGTTGTCGCCCTCCTTCAGCTTGGATTGCCGCGTCAGACAGCACCCAGGGCACCTCATGCTCGCCCTCTTGGTCCCCCACTTCATCACCTTGGCTCGCGAGGACCCAAGCCTCGCCAACTCTGCCATGGCCCTTAGTGTCCTCTGCCTCGCTGAAGCCCAGTAGAGCATAAGCTCTACCTTCTCCTATGGTCAACATCACGCCAGCAATGGCCTCGCTGCTTACCTCAGTGCTAATTGCTCCATCGCCATGGAAACCGGTGGATCTTCGTATCTCTTTTCCTTTGCTTGACATTAATTTCTGAGAGCTCATCTCAAGAAAAAAATCTCTAGCCTTGGGTTCTCAAGAATCTCAAGAAGGCACTCTCTCTCAAAAATGGGTGAAATGGGGAAGAAGCTCCCTATTTATAGCCTAGGGTTTTTAATTCCTATTAAGTGATGAAATGGAGAAAAGTTCTCATAGCTCACAGCAAGAAAAAGTAGATCAAGAATGAGCAAAAAAAGTTTACAGGAAGGAAAGTAGTCGTCGGTCAAAAGGAGTCTCCAAGAAATCCAAGTCCAAGAAGGGTTGACACTGTTATAACTATAACTTTTGATCCGTTTCTCCAAATGGGGCTTATAATATATCAAATCGAAGCTCTCGACATGCCCTACAAAACTCACGGCCTTTGGCAATGATAAACATTGTTAAGAGCCTAAAAAAAGCCTAGAAACATATGTTTGGGCCTTCCAAAGTTTTTTCAGTTGTGCATTTAGTCGAAATCCAAACCCAACCGAATGCCCTCCTCTCCAAGTTAATTGGACATGGGGAATTGGGGGGCAAATAATGGGTCAAGCCCAAGGCCCCAACCCACGTTGTGAGACCAGTTTAAATTAAAAGCCCAAATTAAAAAGATCCAGTAAGTCCAGCCCAAAGGGGTCCACACTCGATCAAGCTCATCAAGGTTCGAGGAGCTACATCACCAAAGGAGTAAGTAGGGTCATTCAAGAATCTCATTCACACCGCCTTGAAAAAAGTCAACCACCGAATCATCATTTGATCGGATCTTATGAGGAGCGTCATAACTGCCTCATCTGTTGAAAAAAGGGCGCTAGCTCCACCAGATTAGCGATTTAGTTACTAATAAGTTGCCTCAATCTGTTAGGAGACGACTATAAATTATAAGCCCCGCCAATACTTGGGAGGCATCTCACATAATCAAGCACATTTACTATCACTCTCATCTCTCTCTTATTGCTTATATCACCCTGCTCTCCCTACACTCATCCAAGTAGTAAAATACCCAGGCGACCCTAACCCTTCAAAGTGGACGTAGGTCACATTAACCGAATCACTCTAAATCTTTGTCTCACTTGAGTTACTCTCTCTCTATTTAATTACTGCATCGATTATTAATCACTTGACAGGTGGTGTACAAAATCAATTTGTGCATCATCAATTTTAATGAATCAAAATACATGCAACTTTCAAAAAGAATATTCCTTAATTCATGGTGATCTTGAAATAGAGATTTTTTTCCTCAAATTCCTTGGTTTCCTGGGGAGAAAGTCTGGTTTGAAATCTTCTTTAAATCATTGATAATTCAGTTTGAAAAGAAATAGAGATTTTTCTTTCTTATGATGATAAAACATAGTCAAATTTTATTGAAATTCAAATAATGATGTCTAAATTTTCAATTCAATTAGAAAAAGTTTTAATGATTTCCTATGAATTGAATCTTTGGGACACAAAGAAATGGGAGCTGGGTTAACTATCCTATTGAGTTACTTGAAGATGCTGATTCGTCTTATTTATTTATTCATAAGATGAAATTTATTTATTCATCTTATTTATTTTATTTTTTGTTTAGCATTTTTTTAGATTGATTGCGAAGCATGGTTTGGAACAGTCAGTTGAAAGACAATATATATCTTAATTCAAATCTATTTTTTTATGGTTGGCCCCAATGCTTAACATCAGTTTGCCTCCACATATGAAAATTATGTCAGCTATATTATCTCATCAACTCGCTTTAATGCGCCCTCACTCTATAGGTCCAGACCTGTGTACGCTATCACTTGCTTAATAGTTAGGGGCGGCAATTGAGTCGTGTCGGGTCATTGTGGATTCGTGTCGAACATTAGTCAACTCTAACCCTACCTATTTAAATAGTCGTGTCGTGTCAAGTTGATCTGTTTATTTTTATGTCGTGTTTGTGTTTGTATTCGTGTTAACCCACATTAACTTTAAATAAAAAATTTAATGTTAATATTTTATTTTCACTTAATTGAATTCATGCTCATATTTTTTTTACAAACTAAAAATTAAATTAATAAATATAATAATAATAAATAAATAAAAATATCTTTTTTATATAATAACTATGTTAGTGATTAATAAATTGTTACAAATAATTAACATTTTATTTCTATAATACTAGTTAAACATGTTAATTTTGTATTAATTTTGTGTTGTTCGTGTTACCATATAAACGAGAAAATAGAAAAAGTATTCATTTTTAAATAAACGGGTTGATCGTGTCAATTTCGAATTTGACGAGTTGAATCCAAACATGACCCGTTTATATTTCGTGCTCGTGTGTTGGGTCATTTTCGAGTTCGTATCATAAAATTTATGTCGAGATCGAGTCGTGTCATTGTGTTGTGTCAAAAATTGCCACCCCTATAGCTGCCAAAAGTGTGGTTTCTATTGCATTGTATCACATTCTATTCTGCAAAACCGTCAATACCTCAGTGTAAGTCCGAGATAATCTTTTGTTCCATAAGTTAGGGGCTATTTACAACTAGACAATTAAAAATTCTCAGATATACCAGTATCAACAATGCTTCAAAGATATAACAATAGATTTTTTCGAGAGGTTACTGTGGGCATTAAAATTTTAATTAACAAAATGGTATCAATAATTGAGCTCAAATCAATTAGATAAATAAAATTGGGGCTTGTCAAATTAAATTAAGGGGCTTAAGGAGGTCGGTCCTTTTTTGTAGGCTTATTTGAATTTAAGTACACTCAAAATATTTATTTGGGGATAAGTCCATTTTGATTTACATTGTCCAAAATACCCTCAATAGTTACATTTAATAAAAACTTGTTTGAAAAAAACTAACTCCTAAATTGGGAATTATATTATTTTTAACAACTCATATTTTGAAAATTGTGTTAGCCTTAAAATTATATTCCTATATATATATATATATATATATATATATATATATATATATATATATATATATATATATATATATATAGATATATATTAAGCAGTAACACACTCAACAAAAAATAGTAAGATCAAATAGTAACACACTCAATAAAAAAATAGTAATATCAAAACAATAACATACTTAACAAAAAATAGTAACATCAAACAACAACATGCTCAACAAAAATTTAATCATTGTAATATAGTGACACCACCACAACTGAATAAATACTCACATATGGTGTCACTCTATTGCAATGATTAAATTTTTAATTAAGTTTTTTATTGAATATGTTACTATTTGATGTTACAATTTTTTTTGTTGAGCGTGTTACTGTTTAATATTACTATATATATACATACATATATGTGTGTGTATATATATATTATATATATATATATATATATATGAATTTTAAAATTCAAATGATACACAAATATCAAAAGAAATCTTAAAAATCTCATATTCTAATATTTAGATATTGAAAATAAAAAAACTGTTAATTAGGTATGCACTCTTTATGGTAGGGGTAATTATGGAATACATTTCAAAAAAAAAATTAAAAATATTTTTAAATGTGTATTTATTGACAACTATTTGATGAAAAATATGACTTAAAGGAAGATAAGTTTGGCAGTGGTACTTAAAGTCAAATAAGTTCTGAAAAAGGTACCCACATTCCATTATCTCTTAAATTAAACCGAACCTAAATTCATAGCCTAAATAATACAAGATCAAATGCAATTAATCAGGCTTGTTAAATTAAATTAAAATAGACTTAAAGTCCATAGGCCCAAATTAAATAAACTTTTAAAAGATAAAGTGGGTTAGACTTAAATTCCATAAATTAACTAAAGCCTACAAATTTATGGGGAGCCCACTACTTAAAGCTCATATAAGAGTAATAAGGTAAAAGTACTCTTATATGGATAACTATCTCTCTTATATGGATAACTACTCCTAGCACTATAAATAGAGGTCTAGGAAAGGACCAAAAGAAAAGAGAAATAGAAAAAGAAGCTAAGGAGGAAGGAAGACCAACGAAACTCTATTCGAAGTTCACTAAAGTCTTGCAAGTTCATCTCCAAGAAGAAGAACACACCACTAAAGACCTTCTTTGGGAAATCTAAATCATCTTCAAGCCATTCAAAACGAAGAATGGTGAGGAGATTCATCAAAAACATCATCAAATTGAAGAACGGGAAATTCATTGATCTAGCTCTCGTATTCATCAAATCCACCAAAGACACCTTCAATTGAAGAGCGAGAAATATGTCAATCAGGCCCTCATCTTCACCAAATTCATCATCTTCATTAAATTCACTAAGAATCAAAGGACAATTCACGTGAGAAGCACGCCGAAAAGAGTTAACACTACATCTTTTAGTTAAAGTCAATCAAATTGACTATTGTGACTTAACCTTATTTTGTGTTAATTTGTTTTTGAAATTTGTCGTTATAGTTACAATTGTCACAGGCAAACATATTAATGACAAGAAACGCATTTTTGTTATACTATTAATACTTGTACTTGCTCTGTTATTTTGTCCAAGTCTAACTGAGAAAGAGTTATAGGATGTAAAATAAATAAATAAAAAGATGAAAATTTATATATATATATATATGTTGAGTAATTATTTTTGCATGATATTATATACATTATTTTAGAATTAAATAATTTTTATTACGAATATTATACGAACACAATACAAAAGAAATATAATCCGAAATTAATATGAATCAAAATGGCACAATAAAAAAATAACACATAATACGATTTGACACACCTACGTTTACATTCTTATGCTTAACTTGCCAAAAGGAGGTCGATTTGTTTAGTTTTCTCCCATTGCGGTTTTTGTTTTTCTGACATCTCCCTCAGAACTTCCATGCCTCTCCTTCATATCTACCCCTATTCCCTCAACTACCATGCCTTTATCCCTAATTTCCCACGCTTTTCTCTCGCTCCTCTCTTTTTGAGGGTGTTCTCTGTGTATACGTACAACTGTTCCCAAAAGCAGGGGGAGTTTTTTCTAAGGCAATTCCGCAGTGATGTTTTGATTGAAGAGAAGAGGTTAGATTGAAGAAAAG